AGCCTGTGTAGTTGAACCACTTTAGAGTTTTCTTTCTCAGATATATCCCAAATTTCCTTAGTAATATCATACAGTTGTTGACAAACATCCATCTTATCATGTCATTCTCCTTTCAAATCTTACAGAGATGAAATAGCATCAGGCAGGAGAGAATCATCTCGATGCATTTCTCACACTGCACTTTGTTCCTCTCCATGCATCATACAAACACCCTACACTGCTGCACTCTGGTAATACCTAAGTGATTGGAGTTTCCTAGCACAGTGGTAGCATTGTGCATCAATGCTTCTCTACGTGCAGTGTTATTTTCCTAGAATTTCCTTTCTCAACTCTGTTCTTTCTTATTCCCATTATGCTCAGGTGCTATGTTCCCAGAGATCTGCAGTCCATACCTTCTTGATTTTTTAAATGAAGTATCTGCACTGTATGTAGTAGTTGGTGTGTGTAATAAATGTCTGTTGATCAAGTAAATTAACAATATCTCCATGTAAATGTAGTAAGATGTTTTTCATTTCTTATCATTTTAACACAATTCCTAGAACAAATTCACATGGAAATTACTGTCTAGATTTTGTATTTTATTCAAAAGTCTAACAGGCTTTGTCTGAGGCTTTGCATGCACTCTCCTATTTAACATATTCTCATTTTAATAACTGTAAATTAGGTTCAAAGAGAGTATTTCTTGTCTTTTCAGTGAGATCAATGCTCACAATGCTGGGACAACATAAATTATATACACAAAAACTGCCAAAACTAAAGTGATATGAAAATGTTTATTAATTATCTTTTTTTTTTTTTTGTTTTGTTTTTTTTGTTTTTTCGAGACAGGGTTTCTCTGTGTAGCTTTGCGCCTCTCCTGGAACTCACTTGGTAGCCCAGGCTGGCCTCGAACTCACAGAGATCCGCCTGGCTCTGCCTCCCGAGTGCTGGGATTAAAGGCGTGCGCCACCACCGCCCGGCTAATTATCTTAACCTTACAGCTAGGTCCAAATAAAGTAGCTGATTTAAATAGTTGCATGTACCTATATACCATTTTCCATTAAAAAACAATGTGACCTTTTAACATGGAAGCATAAAATCATATTCAGTCATAAGCAGTAAAATATTATTTACATGATTTTGTGTACTGTGATCGTACCAATCATTTAACTGGGTATCAAAAGAACATGGCTTACTTTTGTTGAGACTTAAAAATAATTTTAACTTTCTTAAAACACCTCTTGAATTACAGATACGTTACTTTACAATCAGTACTGAGAGAAACTAAGTATTGGGTTTTGAAATAATCTTTTTTTAGGCAGTGAGAGGAAGCAAGACGCCCAGAGTTAGTGAACAGTAAAGAAGTGAAAGAAGTGAAGGGGAGTATATTCCACTTATATAACCATTATCTGAGTAGATCAGGAGATTTCTGCAGATTAACTGTATCAGAATTCTTGCAGTATATTTTGGAATATCTCTGAAGCTCTCTTCTCAGTCACAAGCTATTTTGTGGTCGTGATGACAGGACACTTAATTGGTTGAAAGTAGAACCATACTGAAATAGTGCTATTTGCAGTCATTCTCAGTATGGAGGATGATATTTTCTAAGACTCTATCCTCAATCATATCTAGTCATACGCTTCAAATTAGGTTGAACGAGAAGGTCCATTAACTTTGGTTTTTGATCCAACTTTTAACCTTAAATTGGATTGGCAAACAATATATATAACTCTGCAGACATAAAGTGGACAAATGGAGATTTTAGTGTACTATGCTTCTGGTAGCAATCAACAACAGTAGTGGATTCCAAAATAGCAAATAAACTCTTGTATTTAGTGACCACTCTAGACTACTTATCATGTCCTAAGAACACATACTTTAAAAATATATTGACATCTTGGGTCATGTCTAAGAATAGTGATCAAATGAGACAAAATTGATAACTTAGAGCCAGAAGCAGAATAACTGACATCTTTCCCTAAGTTGAGGACAGTTAGGAGAACAAAGGAGAATTCCTGTAATGTGGCTGGACTAAAAACAAATAATGAAGGGTACAAAAGCAATGTGCAGAATGCACAAGTCTATGTGTTTGCATGTGTGCACCCCCACCCACACACAATCAGTCAAACATCCATCCTTTTTAGCAATCAGAGCACTCCAAAGTTAAGATGTGCTTTCCCAAGAACTGAGAATCTCTAGTGCTGGTGAGACATGACATGTGACAGAAACTACATTGTATAATTATTTCAGGAATATTATAGACAAAATTTAAATATTTCAAGTAGAAAATAGAAGAGTTTGATTAAATGACCTGTGTGGATTCTTCAGGCTTGGAGAATCATATTGGTGTAGGTACCAGGTATAAAAAAAAATAAGAAAAATGCTAATCATAGTAGCAATCATGGAAGTGTTCCTCATAGCTGTGACACACTATATGCTAGTCATTTCACAGTACCCATAACGAAAGTAAAGTCAGAGTCATTGTTAAGTATAATTCATAGACATAAGAAGGTTTTGGAAGCTATCTGACTTTCCCTGGAACACATTGAAACAGTGAGTCAGGATTTAAAGACAGGAAACCATGACTCAGTCAGAACAATCAAGCTGAATTGGTGAACCCAAGATGCACAGGGCAATTACAGAAAATCAAAGCCTGTTCAAGAAGAAAGTTGCCATTGGCTTCAACTAGGAAGAAATTCTTGCCGGTAATCAGTTTTATACACTGGTCTTGTCTCTGCTGTCTATTCTTTGACAAAGGCAAAAAGACTCTTAACAAAAGAAAATGAACAAGTTATATACCTGGGTAAATTTTATCTCATTGACAAGTCCTTTAACATAAGCATCTTAAGAGGACTTAAGCAAATTAAGAGGGCTTAATTGTAACTCATTTGGTAGAGTACTTGTCTAGCATGCATACATTCAGTCCTCAGCCTTGCCCAATCTAGGAGTGGAGGAACATGCATGTAATCCTAGCACTGGGGAGTTGGTAGATGGAGGATCACAAGTTCAAGGTCACCCTCTATCACATAAGGAGTTTGAGGCCAGGCTGAATATGTGAGACATTGTTGAAAGAAGTTAAAGGAGAGGACAGAAGGGAGGTGGGTGATGAAGGAAACAAGGAATAAAAAGAGGGGAAAAAGGATAGTGTAGATGAAGTTTGAAAACAGGAATGATGTGGACACAGATGGAAGGTTTTCCCCAAAGATCTTAGCTTATATTTCCAAGTAAACAGGGTGATAATTTGCCTGTCTCCCCTACTCTTCTAATGCCCAAAGAGGGGATGTCACATTATTAACCTATCAAATTCCATCTGATATATAACTGCTATTGGCAAATATCGCTATTTTTTGATACTAAAGAAAATAGGGGAAATAAATTTGCATTTCCTACAAGCTATTACACTGTTGAACAATAGTATTTAAGAGTACATATGCAGTCAGCACGACTTAAGGAACATTTTCTGTTCTAAAAATGTGAAAACAAAGAAACAGAATGTACTCCCAACTTGTAACATGCACACATGCATCCATACGTGCACACTGTGATGGCTAGGTTTTATGTCAAGTTGACACAGGCCAAAGTCATTTTGAAAGTGGAACCAACTGAGAAAATGCCCCCACCAGATTGTCTTAGAGGGTAGTTTGTGGGGCCTTTTCTTGATTCATGATCGATGTGGGAGGGCGCAGCTCACTGTAGGTGGTGCCACCCATAGATGACAGGTCCTAGATAGTACTGAATGATATAAGAAAGCAGACTAAGCAAAACATGGGGAGCCAGACATTTAGCAGCTTTCTTTGCTGGTTTCCTACCCTGACTTTCCTCAGTTATGGACTTAAAAGTTATATAATGACATAAGCCCTTTCCTCCCCAATCCTTCAGCAGTAGTGCTTTATCACCAAAATAGTGAACACACACACACACACACACACACACACACACACACACACACACACACACACACACACACACACTAAATAAATAAATAAATAAATAAATAAATAAATAAATAAATAAATAAGTAAATATAAATAAATTAGGACCTGAATTCAGTGCCAACAACTAGGTCAGGCAGCTCACAGAAGCCTGCAACTCCCAATCCAGGAGATCTGAAAACCTCATCTATTCTCCAAGGAAACTTGTACACATGTGTATATACACTGGCCCCACAGAAGCACATGCATGTGCACACATTCCCCACACAGAAACACAAGAATGTACTCATACCCCATCAGAAACACATGCATATGCATGAATAAAAATAAAAAATATAAATCTTGCAAAAAGGAAAGAGGACTAGGAAAGACTGAAGAAAGTACTTCTAGTGCAGATCTGAAGAAGAAAGTACTTATAAGTGAAATTGTTCAGGTGAAGAAAATTAAATAAGTAAATTTCTAAAAAATGCAAAAACACATAAATAATTTTTAAAGATAAGAAAAAAAAAGACATAGACATTGACTGCAGAATTGAACAGGGTAAATTTCTAGGCTTTATGTTCTCATATGTTCTCATTTCATCCTTGACAAATTTTGCTGCTATTTAATGTGAATTTTTGCACATCCCAGTGGAGTATCTGCTCTTAGTCTGTATCACTCATAGTCCCCAAAATAATTTTGCCAATCCTTGGTAGCTCAGTGATGACTATTATGACTCACAATTAAATCAAACATAAAGGAAGATATACACTGGCATTTTATATGTTGAGATAAAATGACTTTAGTTCATTTTAAGGGCCTTAGTACTAAATAAAGTTGAACACTGCCCAGAAGATACTTGATACAAAAAAATGTAAACTGTGTAAAGGTCTATAGCCTACATATATCGCCTCCTCTCCCTATAAGCAAATGCAGACTTGTTCGAAATCATACACTTTCTATGCTATGAAATTTCCATGCTATGAAATATATCCACTCCAAACACTTTTGAACGAATGGAAAATCCTACTAGGTCATAAATTTTGATCATTCATGCTACCATGACAACTAACTGCTATGAGATGTTCCTCCCTGTGTCTGACTGAACAGGTTTCAATTGGCCATCTTCCAGACACTCCCTGATGAGACAGGACTGATCACATTCAAGTCAGAACTTGGAAAGCTTACCCACGAGAAGTTGCTCACGAGAGATTATTTGACATTGGCCACAGGTAGGTGGGAATGGCCAGGAATAATCTATAGGAAAGGCTGTCATGAACTTGTACACGTAAATGAAACCAGAACTGTTCCATGGACTCATTAGAAAGAAATCTTGTTAGTTGGGCTCTAGAAAACCTGAGTGTTCATGGTAATCCCAAAGAGAAAAGGAACCTCAATATCAGAGCCCCTGGAAGCAAAGAGAAATGGAAGTCACTCCAAAGACAAGGATTCAAAACTTGCTTTTTAAAAAACAGATGAATTGCTTATTTTTATAAACAAACTGCGTCCACTTGACTCTGAGCTTTTTCCTTCAGCTTCTTGAGTTCTGTTCATTAATCTCTGGAGTATGTACCATCTTTTCTAGAATATGGATCCATCTTCTCTGTGTCATGATTGTTCTATCTGTCCATAGGTTTGTGCTTATTACCACTTTTACCAGAGAGCTTTTTTGACCTTGCTTCCATTTTAAGAGTCTAGGTTGATGTTCTTCCATGGTCTCTCGACTGTGTGATATTTTATTTGTGCTGAAATATATTTTATTTGTATGTTAATAAATAAAGTTTGCCTGGAGATCAGCAGTCAGTGAGCCATAAACAGAAGTCAGGTGGTGGTTGCCCATGCCCTTAATCCAATCACATGGCAGGCAGAGTCTCTGTGTGGTCAAGGACACAGCCAAGCGTGGTGACACGAGCCTTTAATCCCAGTACCAACCATAGAGACCTGGAGGTCTGTTTAGACAGGCAGTGACAAGGAAGTCATGTGGCTGGGCTTAGAGCCAATGAGAAGGCATAACAGGAAGGTAATAAAAATATGGGTTAGATGGGAAGAAGCTCTCTCTGTTGAAGCTACTGCTGATGGTAAGCTAAAGCTAGTGGTGACTATTGCTCTGATCTCTTTGGCTATTACCTCTGTATTTGGCTCTGTGTTTCTTATTTAATAAGACTGTTTAGAAATTTGTATACACTGGACAGCCTCCATCAAAGCACCCTAGCCATGCTTATTTAAGGGATTTTCTATATCCCTTATTGTACTGTGACTTAGAATAGCAGAGACTGGGTCCAGTTTGTTCAATCTTGAATCTCCATTCCTAAAACCAGCTCTCCACATAAGGAGTAGCCTTAAACATTAAAGAGCAAATAAGTTAATGGAAAATACTTGCGCCAGTCAAGAAATATCCATCCACTGTTTTGTAAATGAAAATTCATACTTCCATGTTTCCATTAAGTACTAGGTTCCAGGGTTCACTGATTGGGCACATTAAAAACACTATTTTATTTGCCTTTGCTGTAACAACAGAGGAGATTTGGAGAGTTAGGAAAAGTTCCCACCAAGACAGAACTAATAACACTGAATGATGGCATTCGGACTTAGGTGCATGGTTTTCCCTTGTCTAGAATTGTACAGCACTTGTTCAGCAGTTTTCTGTTAGGTTTTGGACCCACTGACATAACTGAACTATTAATGAGAACTTACTGCTCTTGAGTTAAGATTACATCCTATGATGGTAGTCCAGCAGTCATTATTGCCTTTCTTTGATCGACACATTAGATTTATCATTACATAATTGCAATTTTTTTTGTACACCATGTCCCAGCATTACCAGCATAAAGGTAAGGGGACAGTGGAGGAATTAATACGTATAAACTCTTGTGCATTGCAACTTAGTTTGTGATTGAATTGCACGGATCAGTTGAGGACCAGATTCTGAGCAGCACTTATGCAGTGTTTCTGAAAGTGCTTGTTAAAGCAGTGGAGTTGCAACCAATCCTGAGTCACGCTGTGAACGAAACAGCCACAGCCTGGTGGATGTAATTGCTCATCTTGTGGCAGGATCAGGTAAGTCACCTGATGGAGCACCCCAGCTAGAGGTTGTGGACCGAGGGCAGCAAAGTTCAACGGCTCCTCTGCCAGCTGTTGCCAGGCAGAGGTAGCGATAGCAGGAGCCTTGGACTCTGATGACTCACTCGGCTTGGTGGGGAGTATTGGAAACAGAACATTTTTGTTGTCTTCACAAAGAAATTCATTCTGAGGATCGTCATGGAGATACTAAAGAAGAGTTTGGGTGCCTGGGTTTTCAAAGAAATAGAATCTGCTGGGATTGATGAAGCAGGCCGGAGAATGATTAATAAGCAAAGGACCAGGGGAACCTTAGAGGAAAGTCTCCTTGTTCTGATCCCGGGGAGTTTGGTACTTAGAATGTGCAAATGTCTGCTGTCCAATAGCCTCTAATCCGGCTATCGAAATCCTGAAATATGGCTTGTCTTCAGTAAAATGTACTTCAAATGTGAAATAAATGTTGGGGCCAAAAGGGTAATATGAAAAGAGAAGATAAAAGGTTTCATGGATAACTGAGATGTTTATTATACATGTTGAAATAATACTTTTAGATATAAAGGATCAAATGAAATATATTATCAAAATCAATTTCATGGTTTTTTTTAACTTTTAAAATGTGACTTCTAGAAATTTTAAATCTATATATACAGCTTTCCTGTGTGGCTCATTTTTTTTAGTTTGTCTTGATTAACATGCATATATTATATGTACCAATGGGCCTCAGTGTGATAATTCAACATATACATACAGCATTCCCAAGTTTAATCTGGACTCTTTAACCATTTAGTCTTACTCTCCAATAGCCATCATCTTATAGTCCCATGAATTTTTCTAAAATTTGTGTTGTACCTTCTGTGTATACTATAAAGCAGTGTTTTATGGCATAGTGACATATATTTTCTTTTAATAATATTTCAAGTGCATCTTTAATTTTTTATAGCTAAGAAAATTGCAGAGTCTAAATTTGTGACTAGATTACAAATAAATTAAAAGTCTTAAAATCATTAATTTTTAGTTTATACTTAGCACATAATAATGGTACACAATACAGCATACATTGTATTCATTCTGGATTAGCATACAATTGTGTCATATTATCCAGGATAATTATTATTCCTGTCACCTCAAGTACTTATTCCTTTCTGTTGTAAATTTTAAAATTAATATTTAACATTACATAAAGTATTTATTACAGCTTTTATTATTCAATTTAACATGTAAAAATTCATCACAGCATTTGTGAACCACAGTAACATTCATTCCCACTGTTTCCTCTTTTTTTTTTTTTCCCCTGGAGCTGAGGACCGAACCCAGGGCCTTGCGCTTGCTAGGCAAGCGCTCTACCACTGAGCTAAATCCCCAACCCTCCCACAGTTTTCCCATGAGAAACTCATATCCACAGATACATATGTCCAACAAAACAGAACCAGTCCTGTAAGTGCATTGAGGTATTTTGAGCTTAAAATATACACAAAGATCACATATTGCTAATATGTTTAAATTCCAATATTATGATCTTAACGTTCTTGGAATTGCTTTGTTTTGTTTTGATTTAAGTTCTTCTATTTCTGGGCTCTTTTGGAAACCAATTGTTCCCTAGATACTTTAAGAGATTCAGTGACGGGCTTGTTTAAGAATAAAATAAAATGAGAAACAGACAGGAGCAAGATGTCCTCACCAGTGCCAGTGCTAACAGGATAAGAGAATCAAGTGCTTTGACTGTTGTAAAATATTAATTGAAGATGTGTTATATTTGTTTCTGCTGTGGAATACAGGTTTAAATTATAAGGTGAAAACAATCTACATATTAGGAACAGGTGTCCTCTGAGTTACCTGTGCCTGCAACACCAGACAGGAAGGTAGCAGAGATGGACCCTGACTTTCTATCTTATTGACTCGCTCTGCTGGAGGACTACTATCATGTGCAAGGAATTAAAGAAGATAGTAAATGGGAGAATTGGATATAGTAGAAAATAATTAATATGCTCATGGTACACTCTTTACCCAGGATTATTATATGTAAGGTCTAAACAGTAAGAAACAGTAAAAAAAAAAAAAACTAAGTGACATAGTGTAATCTAACAGAGGTGTGGTCTGTTTCTCAACAGATGCCACATAAGCATGACAACTTCAATGTGGAATAGGTACATGCCAGAAATGGAAATTCATGATAGTAAAAGGTTACATGAAGTAAAAGAGGAAACAATATATAGAGAGATACTAGAACTCCAGTTATTCTTTTAATTTGGAAAGAAAAACTGTAATATATTGCAAAGAACAAGAATTAAATTAGAAAACAATGAGATCTCATTTGGAGAAATGGTTTAGTGAATAATGTGCTTTCTACAGCAGTGCAAGGCATGTGATTCTGGATGCCCAGCACCCACATAACAGCCAGGTCTATGACCATGTCACTGAGAGAATAGAAACAAAGATTAAATATCTAGTCAGTCTAACTGTAATGGCAAGTTCCAGCATCAGTGAGAGACCTTGTTTCTAAGGTATAGGGTAAGGAGCAAAAGAGGAAGATATCCATGCCAACTATTAACCAACTGCTCACACACAAATGAGTGCATCAGGCATATGTGCATACACCTGCAAATATCACACACAAGAATGTAAGTCTTTTTTTTTTTTTTTTTTGGTTTTTCGAGACAGGGTTTCTCTGTGTAGCTTTGTGCCTTTCCTGGAACTCCCTTTGGAGACCAGGCTGGCCTCGAACTCACAGAGATCCGCCTGGCTCTGCCTCCCGAGTGCTGGGATTAAAGGCGTGCGCCACCACCGCCCGGCAAGAATGTAAGTCTTTAAACACACACACACACACACACACACACACACACACACACACACACACACACTCACACATGCACAGTTTTAATTGAAGTATTTAAGGTTGATTTTTGATCATAATAATTTGTATTGGTTAAAATTATTAATTTGAAATCTCAATTGTTAACATATCATGGGTATATTTTTCAGTATTTCCTCACATACTGGATTCTATATAACCTAGTCATTATAGACAAGTGAAATAGACTTATAAAAACAGAAAAATACATGCACAAGATGGAGTTTGACATGAGCCTCTGAATGTTTTTCATGACCTGACCTTAATAATTTTCCTTTCCATTCTTATCTCCTAGACAGGATTTACTCAAGCACTAAGGCTAAACTC